GGCAAGTGGAAAAAATGTTCAGATGCTGCTATTGATGACATTAAATGTGAATGAGGCCTACTAGTAGAAGTAGGTTAGGCCTATAAGGTGAATCAATGGAGTTGCAAAATATGTTAGTAGATGCAGTAGTTGATGGTCACATGACCGTAGGGTCCAGGAATGGAAGTAGATCAGTCCCTAAGATGATTTAGTAATGCAGTTATAGAAGAAATCCCTTGTATAAAGGTTTCATGGTATTGTTGTGTCAGACAACAATACCATGAAACAAACAACTCAAACAAACAATGAAAACAAATTGACGAGTAAAGCGCGTGTACAACATCTACCTTGTGCAAGACAGGTAGACAATACCGACAAGATGAAAGTTAAGACACTTGTAGAGAATCTCTACAACCACGGTGCTGTAAACACCACCTCCAGGGCTGAGGGACTGATTACCTCATCTTTTGTATATAGTTCTTCTGTTTTCTAATTATGTCCAAGAATCTGTATTGATCAAGCCACTGGATGGCGAAACGTTTACAATAACGATATCCAGATGTTGCACAAGTGTCTTAACTTTCACAACATCTACATATTATATTGATAAAGCCTGTTCTGCATGTTCTGCCTGCTCTGCCTGTTCTGCCTGATCTGCCTGTTCTGCATGTTCTGCCTGTTCTGCCTGTTCTGCCTGATCTGCCTGCTCTGCCTGTTCTGCCTGTTCTGCCTGATCTGCCTGTTCTGCCTGCTCTGCCTGTTCTGCCTGTTCTGCATGTTCTGCTGTTCTGCCTGCTCTGCCTGTTCTGCCTGGCTGCCCTCAGCGGTGCCTTTCAGCCTGCGCTTCCTTTTTTCTCCCCCCTTTTGGCCTATCCCCGCTGCCTCTCGCCTGAATGCCTTTTCAGCCCCTTTGCCCTCGCCCCCTGCTCTCGTTTGCCTGCATTCCCCTGGCTCCCTCTCGCCTGTCCCTCTCTGCCTGTTCCTGCCTCCTGCCCTGGTATTTTCCCGCCTGCCTTTCGCCTGGATTTTCCATCCCCCTGCCTGTCTCAGCCTCCCCTTTTCTCCCCTGGGCTGCCTATCACTGCCTGCTACTCAGGCTTGCCTGCCTCTCGCCGGGCCTGCCTCTCGCCTGCACTGCCTCTAGCCTGCCCTGCCTACTCCCCTCCCTTTTTTTGTACTGCCTACTCGCCTGCCTGCCTATGCCTGGCTG